CTGTACCAGAGAGCCGTCCCAAGCCAGCCTGAAGCGAGGATACTGAAGCATCTGAGAAGAAAGGGGGAGCCACGTGTGATGGAGCCAGCTTGTCCTCCCAGCACTGGGGAGGCTGAGGCAGGAGGATGGCACATTCAAGGCTAGCCTATCCGATTTAGCAAGACTGTGTCTGAAAATATTTTAAAAGGACTGGGGATATAGCTCAGGGATAGAGCAACCTGCATTGCCAAAACAAGTGGGAGTGGGGTAGGAGTGTGTGAAGGTGGCACAGTTCATCAGATGTGGCTGTGTAAATCTACATAGCCATTTCGTGTTGACCAGCCCCCCATGGTCATCTAAGGTGCCATCGCCTGCAGTCCGGAGCTGCTCTGAACAAGACATCACTATTACCAGCAAACGTGAGTGGAAGAACACAGCTCGCAGGTGTGGCTAGGAAGCTGGGGCTGCATGGCACAGCGTGGGATCCCCAGCGCTCGGCACGCATCAGTGTAAGTGCTTGGAGGTAATGTCCACGTTACAGGAAACACAGGACTGGAAGACCAAATTAAAAGGCCTCTGAGAATATTTGTAGGCAAATGCCAGATGTCAGGCCTTCTACGAGACAACTTGCCCCAGAGAGAAGTCAGCAGCATTAAAAGGAAAGCACGGAATGTTCTAGATACAGGAGATCAAAGAGGAATCTTGGATGTTTGGTTTGGTTTAGTTTTTTTTTGAAACAGGGTCTTGCTGTGTGGTTTAGGCTGGCCTCAAACTCACTATGTAAGCCAGCCTGACCTTGAAGTCAAAGTGATCTTCCTGCCTCAGCTTCCAAAGTGCTGGGATGAAAAGATGTGGCCCACCATGCCCGACCTGTTCCTTGAGATGCCATGTAGATGTCACCATGTGCATACAGGCTCTCACTGCTTCTGGGTGCACACTTAGGGACGCTTCTGTCACTTGAAGGTTAAGTGACAAACTGTGAGCACCACTCCTTTGCCAGCACTGCTTCTCAGCTGCTCACTGCCTCTGCTCACCACTCTTCACCTGTGAGGGGCACTGAGGCTGGCTCTTTTCTAGACTTTTGTGAGCTGTGTTACACAAAATTTGATTTTCATGTAGACGTGGGCGTGTGGGTCCTTGGCGTATGCAGAGTTCAATTCAGTGCATCAAGGAGTGGCCATATAGTAGCTCTAATTTCTTTCCCCCTTTTGGTGGAACCAGGGATTGAACTCAGGCCCTTATGCTTGTCAGGCGAGCGCTTATTCTACAGATCCATCTCCCTGGCCCCCAGTAGCTCCAATTTTAGTTTTCATTATTTTGCTTTGTTTTCAGTACTGAAGCTTGAACTGAGGGCCACCTGGGCTATATATCTCTGGTCTTTTTTATTTTGTAATAGTCTCCCTGGATCACTAAATTGCCCAGACTGGGCCTGAATTTTTTTTGGGGGGGGGCCCTGAATTTTTATGATCCTCCTGCTTCAGCCTCCCAACTGCGATAACAGATATGTGCTACCATACCTTCAGTTAATCTATTTTTTTTTATGTTTTTTTTTAAATTTTATTTATTTATTTGTGGGGGGGGGCAGCTCAGTCCACCAGGGGGCGGGCTGGCTGGCATGTGGTGCTGGGGGATTGAACCGCGGTCCCCGGGCTTTGCTAAGCTTGTTCTAAGTAGGTGCTTTAGACCACTGAGCCATCTCACCAGCCC